CTCTGTGTGATTAGGCCCTGTGTCTCTCCCTCAGTCTCTGTGTGATCAGGCCCTGTGTCTCTCCCTCAGTCTCTGTGTGATCAGACCCTGTGTCTCTCCCTCAGTCTCTGTGTGATCAGGCCCTGTGTCTCTCCCTCAGTCTCTGTGTGATCAGGCCCTGTGTCTCTCCCTCAGTCTCTTTGTGATCAGACCCTGTGTCTCTCCCTCAGTCTCTGTTTGATCAGACCCTGTGTCTCTCCCTCAGTCTCTGTGTGATCAGACCCTGTGTCTCTCCCTCAGTCTCTGTGTGATCAGACCCTGTGTCTCTCCCTCAGTCTCTGTGTGATCAGACCCTGTGTCTCTCCCTCAGTCTCTGTGTGATCAGGCCCTGTGTGTCTCCCTCAGTCTCTGTGTAATCAGACCCTGTGTCTCTCCCTCAGTCTCTGTGTAATCAGACCCTGTGTCTCTCCCTCAGTCTCTGTGTGATCAGACCCTGTGTCTCTCCCTCAGTCTCTGTGTAATCAGACCCTGTGTCTCTCCCTCAGTCTCTGTGTGATCAGACCCTGTGTCTCTCCCTCAGTCTCTGTGTGATCAGGCCCTGTGTCTCTCCCTCAGTCTCTGTGTGATCAGGCCCTGTGTCTCTCCCTCAGTCTCTTTGTGATCAGACCCTGTGTCTCTCCCTCAGTCTCTGTTTGATCAGACCCTGTGTCTCTCCCTCAGTCTCTGTGTGATCAGACCCTGTGTCTCTCCCTCAGTCTCTGTGTGATCAGACCCTGTGTCTCTCCCTCAGTCTCTGTGTGATCAGACCCTGTGTCTCTCCCTCAGTCTCTGTGTGATCAGGCCCTGTGTGTCTCCCTCAGTCTCTGTGTGATCAGACCCTGTGTCTCTCCCTCAGTCTCTGTGTAATCAGGCCCTGTGTCTCTCCCTCAGTCTCTGTGTGATCAGACCCTGTGTCTCTCCCTCAGTCTCTGTGTAATCAGACCCTGTGTCTCTCCCTCAGTCTCTGTGTGATCAGACCCTGTGTCTCTCCCTCAGTCTCTGTGTAATCAGACCCTGTGTCTCTCCCTCAGTCTCTGTGTAATCAGACCCTGTGTCTCTCCCTCAGTCTCTGTGTGATCAGACCCTGTGTCTCTCCCTCAGTCTCTGTGTGATCAGACCCTGTGTCTCTCCCTCAGTCTCTGTGTGATCAGACCCTGTGTCTCTCCCTCAGTCTCTGTGTGATCAGACCCTGTGTCTCTCCCTCAGTCTCTGTGTGATCAGACCCTGTGTCTCTCCCTCAGTCTCTGTGTGATCATACCCTGTGTCTCTCCCTCAGTCTCTGTGTGATCAGACCCTGTGTCTCTCCCCAGTCTCTGTGTGATCAGACCCTGTGTCTCTCCCTCAGTCTCTGTGTAATCAGACCCTGTGTCTCTCCCTCAGTCTCTGTGTGATCAGACCCTGTGTCTCTCCCCAGTCTCTGTGTGATCAGACCCTGTGTCTCTCCCTCAGTCTCTGTGTGATCAGACCCTGTGTCTCTCCCTCAGTCTCTGTGTGATCAGACCCTGTGTCTCTCCCTCAGTCTCTGTGTGATCAGACCCTGTGTCTCTCCCCAGTCTCTGTGTGATCAGACCCTGTGTCTCTCCCTCAGTCTCTGTGTGATCAGACCCTGTGTCTCTCCCTCAGTCTCTGTGTAATCGGACCCTGTGTCTCTCCCTCAGTCTCTGTGTGATCAGACCCTGTGTCTCTCCCTCAGTCTCTGTGTGATCAGACCCTGTGTCTCTCCCTCAGTCTCTGTGTGATCAGACCCTGTGTCTCTCCCTCAGTCTTCCTCCGTTCTCCTTAATGCTCCGTGTGCTTTTCTCCTGGTTCCTGAGTTTTCTAATGAAATACCTTTATAATCGTTCTCCTTCGTGCTGTTTCCATTACCGCATTACGTAACAATAATGTAATGTCATATAATAAAATAAAATATAATACAATATAAAATAATATAAAATAATGTAATATTTAACACACATGATGATATGATCAGGCATGTAATATCCTGTGTGTGCGCTGAAGCACGGAGAAGAAATTACATCCGCCCTGAAATTAAATCAGTGCATGTGTGTTTCTGCCCTCATGTCTTCATCATCATCAGCATCATCATCATCTTCATCATCATCAGCATCATCATCATCTTCATCACCATCATCATCATCATCATCTTCATCATCATCATCATCATCATCACCATCATCATCATCTTCATGCGTTTCAAACAAACGGATTCAGTTCAAACTGACCCGACCTCTGACCTTTACAGCACAATCTTCTCATGAGTGGAAAAAATGTGTGATTTACTGCACTAGTGTTGCTTTATAAATAAAGACCTGAGTTAATCACATGAAAACACACACACACACACACACACACACACACACTCACTCACTCACTCACTCACTCACTCACTCACTCACTCACTCACTCACTCACTCACTCACTCACACACTCACTCTCACACTCACTCACTCACTCACTCACTCACTCACTCACTCACTCACTCACTCACTCACTCACTCACTCACTCACTCACTCACTCACTCACTCACTCACTCACTCACTCACTCACTCCCTCACTCACTCACTCACACACACAAACAATGTGAATGAATAATGAATAAACTGCTGAACATTCTTCATAACCAAGCAGCAACATTCTAATCTGAAAAATGAAGCCTATCCGGAAGTGTGAAAAACTGCAATACATCGAAAATCCGCTAGAGGGAGGTCCCAAAAGGGAGCAAATATCCATAGACCCCGGGCCCTATTTTAACGATCTGAAACGCAAGTGTCAAAGCGTAAAGCGCAAGTAACTTTGTGGGCGGATCCCGGCGCTGTTGCTATTTTCCCGGCGGGATAAATGCCTCTTGCGCCTGGCGCAAATCTAAAAGGGGTTGGTCTGAAGTAGCTTCATTATTCATAGGTGTGGTTTGGGCGTAACGTGAAATAAACCAAATCAGAGCGTCATCTCACATTCCCTTTAAAAGCAGGCGCGCTTGTTCTAAAGCGGATTCCTATTATAACGGCGGATTTGCCAGGTGCGCGCCAGGAGCGGTTCACAGCCGAGGAGAGCAGCGTTCTCGTCAGGGCCGTAAAACACAGAGAAGTGACATTGGGGATGGAGAAAGTTTGAGAAACCCACCCAAATTAACTTCTGTTAAACAGGCGTATGATAATTTGGGTAAATGTGTAAGCTACATGCTTTTATAATAAATTGTCTATCTATCTATCTATCTATCTGTCTGTCTGTCTGTCTGTCTGTCTGTCTGTCTGTCTGTCTGTCTGTCTGTCTGTCTGTCTGTCTGTCTGTCTGTCTGTCTGTCTGTCTGTCTGTCTGTCTATCTATCTATCTATCTATCTATCTATCTATCTATCATCTATCTATCTATCTATCTATCATCTATCTATCTATCTATCTATCTATCTATCTATCTATCTATCTATCTATCTATCTATCTATCTATCTATCTATCTATCATCTATCTATCTATCTATCTATCTATCGTAATAATGTATGATTTGGAAAAATGAAAACTGCTGCTTAGATGAGAGAATCAACGTGTATGCGCGTTGTGCACACGCTACATTGATTATGGTCAAGCATGCGCCCTTAAAATAGCATTATGAACGCAACGCGCCACTGACTTTAGACTAGTTTTTTTCTGGTCAGTGGCGCAATTGTTTTATAGAACAGCAAAATAGCATGAGGGAAAGTTTGCGCCGGAACACGCCTCCTCTTTGCGCTGAACCGCCCCGGGGAGCGCAAGTGTATTTCTTAGTTAACCGACGTGCGTCTGTGGAGGGAAAAGCCCGCTTTGCGCGGGTGCAAAATAGGAATGATACATGCATCAGTGTACAAAGTCATTTGCGCCGAGTGCAAGACAGGGCCCCCCATGTTAAAATGTCCGTTTCCACAGCATAAATTCATGTTTTTACAGGTTGGTCCCATGGACTTTTATTGTATTTTTCGATATGTTCCGAGTGCCTGACAACTGTGAGGGGGGTGAATTTTTTTCTAACTTGTTAGTTTAGATCATATTTAGATATAAAATGTATGACAAATAAGGGCGTGGTTACTTTGATTGACAGGTTGATTGACAGCTGATAACGGGCTGCGTCGAGTGGAATTTCTGAAATCTGACGTCTCGGCCATGATCTGACACAACACATCACACCACCTCTGTATCCTTTCTGAACATTTGTATTGAAATATTGTACATAACATGGGTTGCTCTGCTATAAACTGCACTAACCGACACTGTAGGACTAGGAGTACTTCGCTCCTTTTTTTCCGGTAAGTGACATTCCACTACTATATCACGTAGTTAGCACTATTTAGCATCAGTGTTTGTGGGCAGTGGCACTGCAACAGTTAGCATTAAATCGCCTCAGATAAGTTAGCGTCCGAGGTACTTTACCTGTGGTTATAACTGACGTTTGAAACACTGTAAATGCGTCTGCCAAATTAATAAATGACTGATCTGCGAGCTAGTTGGTCGCACGTCAGAGGCGGCCGCGCCATTGGATGTGCAGTTGCCGCAGCACAGCCTATGAGCGAGCTGCAGCTGCAAATGCGTTTTACATATAGGCTTCAGTAAATTGAGGAAAAGGAGTTTCAACATAAGAATGACACTGGCTGTGAAGAGTAGCCTAGTCTGCAGTCGATCCTGTAGCGGTACAGATAGCTGAGGCTCGGCTGAAGAGGCGTGTCCACCGGCCGGCTCAGTCTCACACAAAGCCCATATATGGATTGGCCAGAAGGTGGGCGGGGTTTGGATTTCCCAAGATTTTCAAAAGATGGCTCCGCCCATACCCCCCATAAACGGCCTCAAACCGTTCTTCAGAAAATCTGTGGGTGACGTCACAGACGCTTTGTCCATATTTTTTACAGTCTATGTTCATAACTCATGTGTGTTAAACTCAACTATGTGAAGCAGAGACTCTCCTGAAACGCTTCAGATTCATCAGTGTTTAGCAGCATAACTCTCACACACACTCACCCGTGAGTAGACGACCTCCAGTGAGATGTTCTGCGGCGGAGCGCTGGGCACTGCGGATACACACACACACACACACACACACACACACACACAGAAATCATCATGAGACAGAGGTATTTAACTTCTTCAGTGCAGATCTGAGTCTGGATGATCTGGAACACAATCGATCAGAGAAACACACCAGTATCTCAGGCTCTGGAAAGTCAAAAGGTCACGAGGTCAAGAGGTCATCTTAGGCATTCAGACTAATAGATGATGAGCCTGAAGATAGCTGACGACTCTAGTGTTGTTTATCAATCATTCTAGTCGAGTCTCCTTCATTTCTACAGCGCTTTACCAGTATAGAGTTTCACAGCAGCTTTACAGTGATAACAGGAGATTACAGTAACAGAGTGTTTAGGCTTTACAGCAGCTCTAGAATAAAGTTATTGTCCAGATAAAGTTAGTTTTGATTGATTCACTTCCGTTGCAAAGATCATTAGTGATTAACTTAGCGGCCGCTAACACGAACACAGAAACTGTAATGTGTTCCGGCCGTTCATTCACATACAGTGTTTGAGCTCGAGAACACACACTCTGAAACACACACTCTGAAACACACTCTGAAACACACACTCTGAAACACACACTCTGAAACACACACTCTGAAACACACACTCTGAAACACACACTCTGAAACCGGTTCTGGTGCAAGTGGTGAAACATTTAGAAAAGCGCTTTCATCTCCGCTAATTATTATTAACAGTGTTTTATCAGTACAGAAGTAAAGGGAAGGATAGCATTCATATACTATTACATCATAAACTTTTGTGTTAATATTTTTAATTAGATTTAAAAAGAATATATATTTTAATTTTAGTTAAAGTTTTTGTTTTGTTACATGTTTTAAATTTTTTTATTTTATTAGTTTTTGTTTTTTTAATATGTCTGTGTGTGTGTGTGTGTGTGTGTGTGTGTGTGTGTGCGTGTGTGTGTGTGTGTGTGTGAGTGAGTGAGTGAGTGTGTCAAAGAGAGTGTGTGTGAGTGAGTGTGTGTCTGTGTGTGTGTGTGTCCCACAATTTGATTAGTGTGCCACAAGGGCTCTTAATTAAGCAGGAATAGTGAAGCGACTCGTTTGAAGATTCTCTAATGGAAACTGACACACAATAAACCCGAAGCCTCTCAGAGTCCAGCTGAAGTAATGCAAAGAGACACACACACACACCCACACACACGCACGGACACACACACACACACACGCACGGACACACACACACACACACACGCACGGACACACACACACACACACACACACACACACATGTTGGTGCAACAGCATTATGAGGACTCTCCATAGGCGTAATGGTTTTTATACCGTAAAAACTATATATTCTATCCCCCTACACTGCCCCTATCCCTAAACCTACCCATCACAGGAGACATGCAGCATTTTTAATTTTTTAATAAAACATTGTTTTTTATGTTTTTTAAGCCATTTGATTTATGAGGACTTTTGAAATGTCCTCATAAACCACCCATAAGTTGTAATACCAGTGTAATACACATGTCATTATACAAATTTGTGTCCTCATAAATCACATAAACCAACTCACACACACACACACACACACACACACACACACACACACACACACACACACACACACACACACACACACACACACACACACGCACACACACGCACACACACGCACTCACACACGGGTTAAACTGAGGACTGATTACTGAGACTTCTGGAGAAAATCACCCGAATGTGAGACCAGATTCAGAGATGGAGCAGTGCATGATGGGAATGGATCGTGAGAGTGGGAGGTCTGAGCTGAATGTTAAGATCTCTCTCTCTCTCTTCTCTCTTAAAGGGCCAGATTCACGTTTATAACACTGCGGACGAGCACTGGTGGGGTTTAAACGACTGATGCTGATTTCAACATTTCTATGTGAATATACAGTAAAGTGTAATTTATTTCTGTGTATTTCCAGCATCATTACTCCAGTCTTCAGTGTCACATGATCCTTCAGAAATCACTCTAATATGAGGATCTGATGCTCAAGACACAGTTATGATTATTATCAGTGTTGAAAACAGTTCATATTTTTGTGGAATACGTCATACATTTTATTTCTCAGGATTCTTTGATGAATAGAAAGTTCAAAAGAACAGCATTTATTCGAAATATAATCTTTTGTAACATTATAAATGTCTTTACTGTCACTTTTGATCAATTTAATTTAATTATAATCAGTATTAATATATAAAAAACAGTGCTGGGCAACGATTAATCGCATCTACAATAAAGTTTGTGTTTACATAATATATGTGTGTGTGTAGTGTGTATAATTATTTTGTATATATAAATACACACACATGCATGTATATATTTAAGAAGAATGTGTTATTTATACATAAAATATTTATATATAATATAAATTATGTATAAATATATATTCAGTATATACGGTACATGCAAATATTTCTTAAATACATACATGCATATGTGTGTGTATTTATATATAAAATAATTATACACACCACACACACACATATATTATGTAAACACAAACTTTTATATTTTAGATGCGACTAATCGTTGCCAGCATTAAAATAAACATAACTCTTACTAACTTCAAAATTTTTAACAGTAATGTAATTTACTGTAATATAATATAATATAATATAATGTAATATACTGTAATATAATGTAATGTAATATACTGTAATATAATATAATGTAATACACTGTAATATAATGTAATATAAAATACTGTAATATAATGTAATATACTGTAATATAATATAATATACTGTAATATAATATAATGTAATATAATATAATATAATGTAATATACTGCAATATAATGTAATGTAATATACTGTAATATAATGTAATGCAATTTACTGTAATATAATATAATGTAATATACTGCAATATAATGTAATGTAATATACTGTAATATAATATAATGTAATATACTGTAATATAATGTAATATAAAATACTGTAATATAATGTAATATACTGTAATATAATATAATATACGGTACTGCAATATAATGTAATGTAATATAATGTAATATACTGTAATATAATGTAATATAATATACTGTAATATAATGTAATATACTGTAATATAATATAATGCAATATACTGTAATATACTGTAATATAATGTAATATACTGTAATATAATATACTGTAATATAATGTAATATACTGTAATATAATATAATATACTGTAATATAATATACTGTAATATAATGTAATATACTGTAATATAATATACTGTAATATAATGTAATATACTGTAATATAATATAATATACTGTAATATAATATAATGTAATGTAATATACTGTAATATAATATAATATAATATACGGTACTGCAATATAATGTAATATAATATAATGTAATGTAATATACTATAATATAATATAATGTAATATAATGTAATATACTATAATATAATATATTGTAATATAATGTAATATACTGTAATATAATATACTGTAATATAATGTAATATACTGTAATATAATATAATATACTGTAATATAATATAATGTAATATACTGTAATATAATATAATATAATATAATGTAATATACTGTAATATAATATACTGTAATATAATGTAATATACTGTAATATAATATAATATACTGTAATATAATATAATGTAATGTAATATACTGCAATATAATATAATATAATATACGGTACTGTAATATAATGTAATATAATATAATGTAATGTAATATACTATAATATAATATACTGTAATATACTGTAATATATAATAATGTCCACATCTGAGTCTACAGAACGGCATCGCCGGCTCACACAGTTCCAGCTGGAGATTCTGATAAGATTGAATCTTTAAGAATTACTGCAAACATAATCCTGAGGTTAACTCATAAATCAATAGTGTGATGTTAGACGGCTAACGAGGACGACTACTGGGAAATACAGCGCGCTTTAGCATTCACAGCATTGAGCGGCCGGTGGAGCGGCTTGCTGTGTGTGTGTGTGTGTGTGTGTGTGTGTGTGTGTGTGCCTTCGGGCTGGACGAGCATGCTCCAGTTTCAGCTCAGACACAGGTATCACCTTCCAGACGCACAACGCTTCACGGAAACACCAAATATTGTGGAAGTAATATAATGCCAAATGTTTGTGAAACAAAAAAGCTTGTTGAATTGCACTACTTGGATAAAATATGCATCGCATTTTAATACATTGTATTTTTAGGGCTTGCATTTGTATGGGCTGAAATTCAACATGGTCGTATATTTAAGCTGTGAATATTTCAATTCAAAACCTTTCACACACATTTTCATTATCAAAAAGTCAATAATCAATATTCACCTTTCAGATTTCACTTAAAAAATGTTAATTCTGCAGCCGATGGAGATTATGAATCTGTGATCTGCTGATATTCCTGCAGTTCCGGTTAACGGTTGTATTTTTTAAAACAGAATTAACATTTTGGAAGTGAAATCTGAAAGATGAATAATATGGATTATTTAATTTTTTATAAATAAAATGTGTGAAATGTTTTGAATTGAAATATTCACAGCGTAAATATGCGACCATGTTGAATTTCAGCCCTAAAAATACAATGCATTAAAATGCGAGCATGGGTTAACGCAGTGCATATTTTACCCAAGTAGTACAACAAGCTTTTTTGTTTCCAAAACATTGGCATTATATTACTTCCATAAAATATTCCATCCCTGAACAGGAAGACGTGTGTGTGTGTGTGTGTGTGTGTGTGTGTGTGTGTGTGTGTGTGTTTGGAAAGGGATCTAATTGAAGTTCAGGGAAGTTCCTGTAAATGTGTGATGTCAGACGAGCTCGTTTGAGTGACGCGGCGTGAAACGGATTGACGGCCAATCAGAGCCAGCATTAGTGTGTGATTAGCCGGATTGCTTATGTAAATATCTCCTGAACAGCGTGACGGACACACAGAGGAATCCAGTCCTGCGCAACACTTTAGGCTTTCATTAAATATGCAGATAACTGTAATATGTGTTTTAGTGCAGTCGAGTTTCAAAACACATCGTTTCAAAGCAGCTTCACAGAAAATCATGATTTGCGCGAGTGTTGTAATGAAATCAAACGGTGCTTGAACTAAACTCTTGTCAGGGGGGTGAACACTTATGCAGGCAGTTAGCGCAAGTCTTTTATTTTCCTCTCTGAAATGGGTCACTTTGGTTTGGCTTTTTTATATATTTATACACTATCGCTGAGACATGATATGGTTTGGATTTGTCCTACCGTCGGAGAGAGTGGTGATGAGCGTGTCCTGGTCGGAGACGCCGGGGCCGTGTCGGTTCACCGCCAGCACTCGTAGAGAATACTCCGTGAACTTCTTCAGTCCCTCCATTCTGTAGCTCTGACCGACAACCTCCACATTCTGCCGAGAGAAAGACCAACTCACGTCAGACAGAACGAATATCGCAGGGTTTATTCAATGGTTTATGGATGCACATCATTATTGTGTTAATAATGTTGAATGAGAATCAGTTCCTCTTGCAGCATCTCTTCTCTTCTCTGATGATGTGGGCGGGGCTATAACCTGTCACTCACATGAGATCAGCCAATAGCAAACCACAACCATCCAATCAACTCCCACAGACACAATCAAGCCCCGCCCACATTCGTTTGTGTTCCTGAAGCGTTTCACTCGATATACAACACAATAGGGAAGAAAAGACCAGCGTCTCTTTGAGGTGGGAGGGGTTTATGCTAATGAGCCCTCGCTAAGCTCCGCCTTAGAAATATTACTAACTCCTAGCACACTGTAAAAACATTTTTTTCAAAGTTGTAAATAAAACAAAGTTTACTGGAGTACATTCTACAAGAAAATACTATTTCAGTTTCTCTAATTTATAAGCAATTTCTGAGAGAAAATTATTTAGAAAACAAATTCGGTGCCGTCGGCCATCAAGTGTTCGGCTCTTTTCTAATGTGAGAATAAAACAGGTCAGATTTCTGTAATAATACTATTACAATAACCAGGTTTACCAATCAATCAAAAATCAATCAACCAATCAACCAATCAACCAATCAACCAACCAATCAATCAATCAATCAACCAATCAATCAATCAATCAATCAATCAATCAATCAATCAATCAATCAATCAATCAATCAATCAAAAATCAATCAACCAATCAACCAATCAACCAATCAACCAATCCACCAATCAATCAATCAATCAACCAATCAATCAATCAATCAATTTTGTTTAAATCATTCTTTTTTTGCACAGTTAGCCATATAAACCATATTCATACTAAACTGAATACAGCTTTATGCTGATTCTAATCAATTTGAATAAAAGCATTTTGAAAATATGATTATTGAAATAAAATTTTAAAAAAGCACAGTCAATAAAGTATGCCACAAAGTTTTTTTTTTTTTTTTGATTTGAGTGCAGAAATCTGACCGGTTTCATTTATGCATGACAGACAAATATGCATCACATTATGTAAATTACAAGTTTATTAGTTTAATAATAGTTAATGTGTAATTCAAACAGATGGACATTTTTTTATGCCAAAAAACCCCAGAAATCTTAAATTTAGGCCTAATTATTTTTTAGAGTCTGTGGAAGATCCGTGTGTTTGAGAGCAATCGCTGTAAACCGAAGCTTTTAAACAACACTTTCTTTAGAGGAAAAACGGCAGATGTAAGATGCTTCGTAATGTCGCTCTTTATTCCAGCCATGTAAAAAACAATATCTGATTAATCTGCAGCACTTTATCAGCTCAGTTCTGAAAGCCAATCCATTCCTATAGATGGTTCAGTGAAGCCTGTCGATTTGGCTGATGTTAAAACACTCACAGAGAGCAAGCTGTTACCGTAGTATTGGCTGGCAAGTGCATGTCTGTCCTGTCGTTCACCCTAAAGCTCATGAGCGTTTGACCTCGCTGAGAGAGAGCATCAGTCATGTCTTTAAAACACTGTAATGGTGACAGACTCCAGCAGAGATGATTGAGAACATCGTACAGTCAGGAGACCAACACAAGCGCTTTAGAGATCCGACCGGCTTTGCTGAGGGGTCATTATCAGAACGCAAAAATTTTACTTGCAAAAATAAGATCAACTGCATTTTAACATTTTCTGAAGAAAACGTGAGTGGTGTTTCAACATGCAAAAACTCGCCTTCCTGATGCTGAGCTGCTGTGGGTGGTTGCTAGGATGTTGCCATGTGGTTGCCAAGGTGTTGCTAGGGAGTGTATTTTCATTGTCTCTAGTGAAGTCTAGGGCTGCATGATATATCAAAGTAAAGTCTAAATCACGATATGGCTTTGTGTGATTGTCAAAAAGTGATTTAAAAAATATATATATAATTTAATTATTTTTGTATTTTAAGTACAATAATATTATTATTACAAAATACTTATGATTTTGTTTAATATTTTTATTAAATAATAATCATATAAATAAATACATATACGCCCACTGGTTTTCAGACAGTATGCGTGTAAATGAACACATTGTGTGTTTCCATTCTGAAACCGGCAGCGCATATATTTTTACTTGCCGGAAACCTGACAAATTAAAAGCTCTATGGTTTACCATTTGAAAATGAAGAAATTAAGATGTAAATATTAGTATTGTAATTTTAGAGTAAAAAAAATTTTTATACACTATAATAGTATTATTACAATAAATTTCTTATTTTTATTTAAAAATAATCACAATAAAATCATTATTATTGTTATTATTATTTTATAGTCATATTGAATTTTAGATTTTTTTAATGAGATTTGAGATTTTTCTCTGTTCACTTTATGGTTACTGAAAGAGATTTGAGCTGGAAAAAGCGGACCCAAGTATGAACATTCAAACTTTTCAGGTTTTTCCCAAATCGTTCAGTCCTACAAGGATTTTGCATTCAAAACACGTTGAAGCGTGGAGATCCGCCGGTATGGATCTCGGGTCGAGTCTCACCTGCTCTTTGCCGGTGGAGGTCTCGGTCCAGAGCAGCCGGTAGCTCTGTATGGGCCCGTTGGCGTGAGCGGGAGGGTCCCAGGACGCCTCGATGGACGTCGGAGACCCGGCTTCTGCCTGAAGATTCTCCACTGGACCAGGAACCAGAACTGCACAAACACACACACAATTAACATTATTTCACATTTAACATAAGTATTAACACTTTAAAGGTCATTGAAAACTTTTATATTGCGGTATTTTTCCACATCGCTCTAAACTCAGAGCTGCAGAGAGAAAGTGGTGCAAATCTAAAGATCCCACAGACCTTTGGTTTGTATCAATCACTTCTCTGCAAAGGCTACAATGACATACTACCACAGCAAAATTAACAATTCTTCTGACTCTCGCACGCTTTTCAAAACCTTCTCCTCTCTTCTTAACCCTCCTCCTCCTTCACCAACACTAACAGCTGATGACTTTGCCACATTCTTCATAAATAAAACCACCACCATCAGCGGCCAATCTTCTACAATTTTCTACACACGCAAACACACACACACACAGTGTCCCCTCCTTCTCTCCGCTCTAAGAGGCAGAAGTCTTCAAACTCATCCTTTCCAATCACCTACAACCTGTCCGCTTGATCCGATCCCCTCTCATCTCCTTCAAAACCCTTTCTTCTTCAGTTGTACCTGCACTTTCTCACTCATATCAACACCTCTCTTCACACTGGTATCTTTCCCACAGCATTTAAGAGGCTCTGATTAAGAAACCCACTCTAAATCCAGCACTTTTGGGAAACTACCGGTATCCCTTCTTCCATTCATTGCTAAGACACTTAAGTGAGTCATTTTCAACCAAATCTCTGCCTTTCTTACACAGAACAACCTCCTAGAAAACAACCAGTCTGGTTTCAGAAGCGTCACTCAACTGAGATGGTCCTGCTCTCCGTTACTGAAGCTCTGAGACTCAAGAGCAGCTTCCAAATTCTCCCATGTTCTGTTAGGGGTCCCTGCAGGAGAAGGTTGAGAACCACTGCACTGGAGTGCCTCAGGGCTCAGTGCTGGGACCGCTTCTCTTCTCCATCTACATGTCATCACTAGGATCTGTCATTCAGAAACATGGTTTATCCCATCACTGTTATCATCTAGCTACTGGAGTGCATCAGGGCTCAGTGCTGGGACTGCTTCTCTTCTCCATCTACATGTCATCACTAGGATCTGTCATTCAGAAACATGGTTTCTCCCATCACTGTTATAATCTAGCTACTGGAGTGCCTCAGGGCTCAGTGCTGGGACCGCTTCTCTTCTCCATCTACATGTCATCACTAGGATCTGTCATTCAGAAACATGGTTTATCCCATCACTGTTATCATCTAGCTACTGGAGTGCCTCAGGGCTCAGTGCTGGGACCACTTCTCTTCTCCATCTAGATGACATCACTAGTGTCTGTCATTCAGAAACATGGTTTCTCCCATCACTGTTATCATCTAGCTACTGGAGTGGCTCAGGGCTCAGTGCTGGGACCGCTTCTCTTCTCCATCTAGATGACATCACTAGTGTCTGTCATTCAGAAACATGGTTTATCCCATCACTGTTATCATCTAGCTACTGGAGTGGCTCAGGGCTCAGTGCTGGGACCGCTTCTCTTCTCCATCTAGATGTCATCACTAGGATCTGTCATTCAGAAACATGGTTTATCCCATCACTGTTATCATCTAGCTACTGGAGTGCCTCAGGGCTCAGTGCTGGGACTGCTTCTCTTCTCCATCTAGATGACATCACTCGGATCTGTCATTCAGAAACATGGTTTATCCCATCACTGTTATCATCTAGCTACTGGAGTGCCTCAGGGTTCAGTGCTGGGACCGCTTCTCTTCTACATCTACATGTCATCACTCGGATCTGTCATTCAGAAACATGGTTTCTCCCATCACTGTTATCATCTAGCTACTGGAGTGCCTCAGGGCTCAGTGCTGGGACCACTTCTCTTCTCCATCTAGATGACATCACTAGTGTCTGTCATTCAGAAACATGGTTTCTCCCATCACTGTTATCATCTAGCTACTGGAGTGCCTCAGGGCTCAGTGCTGGGACCACTTCTCTTCTCCATCTACATGTCATCACTAGAATCTGTCATTCAGAAACATGATTTCTCCCATCACTGTTATCATCTAGCTACTGGAGTGCCTCAGGGCTCAGTGCTGGGGCCGCTTCTCTTCTACATCTACATGTCATCACTCGGATCTGTCATTCAGAAACATGGTTTCTCCCATCACTGTTATCATCTAGCTACTGGAGTGCCTCAGGGCTCAGTGCTGGGACCACTTCTCTTCTCCATCTAGATGACATCACTAGTGTCTGTCATTCAGAAACATGGTTTATCCCATCACTGTTATCATCTAGCTACTGGAGTGCCTCAGGGCTCAGTGCTGGGACCACTTCTCTTCTCCATCTACATGTCATCACTAGTGTCTGTCATTCAGAAACATGGTTTCTCCCATCACTGTTATCATCTAGCTACTGGAGTGGCTCAGGGCTCAGTGCTGGGACCGCTTCTCTTCTCAATCTAGATGACATCACTAGTGTCTGTCATTCAGAAACATGGTTTATCCCATCACTGTTATCATCTAGCTACTGGAGTGCCTCAGGGCTCAGTGCTGGGACCACTTCTCTTCTCCATCTAGATGACATCACTAGTGTCTGTCATTCAGAAACATGGTTTATCCCATCACTGTTATCATCTAGCTACTGGAGTGCCTCAGGGCTCAGTGCTGGGACCACTTCTCTTCTCCATCTACATGTCATCACTAGTGTCTGTCATTCAGAAACATGGTTTCTCCCATCACTGTTATCATCTAGCTACTGGAGTGGCTCAGGGCTCAGTGCTGGGACTGCTTCTCTTCTCCATCTACATGTCATCACTAGGATCTGTCATTCAGAAACATGGTTTCTCCCATCACTGTTATCATCTAGCTACTGGAGTGGCTCAGGGCTCAGTGCTGGGACCGCTTCTCTTCTCCATCTACATGTCATCACTAGGATCTGTCATTCAGAAACATGGTTTCTCCCATCACTGTTATCATCTAGCTACTGGAGTGGCTCAGGGCTCAGTGCTGGGACTGCTTCTCTTCTCCATCTAGATGACATCACTAGTGTCTGTCATTCAGAAACATGGTTTATCCCATCACTGTTATCATCTAGCTACTGGAGTACCTCAAGGCTCAGTGCTGGGACTGCTTCTCTTCTCCATGTACATGTCATCACTAGGATCTGTCATTCAGAAACATGGTTTCTCCCATCACTGTTATCATCTAGCTACTGGAGTGGCTCAGGGCTCAGTGCTGGGACCGCTTCTCTTCTCCATCTACATGTCATCACTAGTGTCTGTCATTCAGAAACGTGGTTTATCCCATCACTGTTATCATTTAGCTACTGGAGTGCCTCAGGGCTCAGTGCTGGGACCGCTTCTCTTCTCCATCTACATGTCATCACTAGGATCTGTCATTCAGAAACATGGTTTCTCCCATCACTGTTATCATCTAGCTACTGGAGTGGCTCAGGGCTCAGTGCTGGGACCGCTTCTCTTCTCCATCTACATGCCATCACTAGTGTCTGTCATTCAGAAACGTGGTTTATCCCATCACTGTTATCATTTAGCTACTGGAGTGCCTCAGGGCTCAGTGCTGGGACTGCTTCTCTTCTCCATCTAGATGTCATCACTAGGATCTGTCATTCAGAAACATGGTTTCTCCCATCACTGTTATCAACTAGCTACTGGAGTGCCTCAGGGCTCAGTGCTGGGACCACTTCTCTTCTCCATCTACATGTCATCACTAGTGTCTGTCATTCAGAAACGTGGTTTATCCCATCACTGTTATCATCTAGCTACTGGAGTGCCTCAGGGCTCAGTGCTGGGACCGCTTCTCTTCCGGCCAACCCAACACTTCATCACAACTTCTCCATTCAGCTAGGTTCGTCATTCATAACTCCATCCAGGACAGCCAGTAACCTTGGAGTTGTGATTGATGATCAGTTGAACTTCACAGACCACATTGCTAGAACTGCCCGGTCCTGCAGATTTGCTTTATTCAACATTATGAGGATCAGGTCCTTCCTATAGGAGCTACACAGTTCCTCATACAAGCTCTTGTTCTATCCAGACTGAACTTTTGTAATGTTCTTTCCTTCCAGCATCACGGTCAAACCTCTGCAACTGATCCAGATGCTGCAGCAAGAGTGTGTTTATCGAGCCGAAGAGACACTCGTAATTCCTCTCCTCATAAACCGGCACTGGCTACTAATTGCTGCATAACCATCTGAAACACGTCTGACAGGAGCGAGTGCGGACGCAGAGGAGTTCCACATTTAGAATGCTATTCATAATTCAGCAAAGGAGGAAAGAGTTGGAAGTGTGTTAGTCTTTCAGGGTGTTTGTGAGGACGAGCTGGAATCTGGATGGAAAGGTCAGACGGCTCAATCTCGCCACTCATTCTCCATTAGAAAGGTTAAGAGCTGGAGTGTGTGTGTGTGTGTGTGTGTGAGTAAGTGAGTGTGTGTGTGTGTGTGTGTGTGTGTGTCTCAGCACCTCTTATAATATAACATCTCTCATAATGCTCTTCTATTAGGGATGGTAAGATTCACCGATTCGCATCGGTGCATCGGCATAAAAGCTAAAATAAGTGTGCATCGGATACAAGTTGGCATTTGTATCGCAATGCATCGTTTCTAATATCTGCATCGGTAAAAAACTATTTATTCATATATAATTATTAGTAGATGCGCTATACTTTTACTATTTAGAAAGTGACCAATCATTTGTGACCAATATTTTATTATGTAACTGCTGCGTTCACACCGAACGCAAATTGAGCGTCTGGAGCGAGTGATTTCCATGTAAAGTCAATGTAAAGACGCGTTGACACCATTCTGGAGGTGCTGCGGCGCGAGACGCGTTTAGCGCGGTGCGGTGGACACGATTTCGCCTCATTCGCGCGTCCAGGTCGACTAGATAGATTTCTCCTTTCTGAACTGTTGCTCAATCACGTTCTCTCATCACGACCATCACGACTGCTGCAGCTGCTACGTGAATATGACGTATCACAACACTACGGAGTGCGAGGCGTGTCCTGAGTCACCTACCTTTAAACCTTAAAGTAGGACATTTTATTTAATCTGGTTTACAGCAGCCTGTGACTGCCAATAGTTTTTCATTTCTTTTTTTTTTTTTTACATTTGAATACAGTTAAGAAAGACCTGTTTGTGAAAGGTTTTTTTTATTTTTTTAATTGTTTATGTTAAAACAGGACCTGCTTTTATTTAATCTTTTGGTTTTGTGAAAAAAGATGAAAGAACCATGCGTTAAAAGTCAGATGGCTCTTAAGCTACTTTATGATTTGCTGTATGTCTGAATAAAAGAAATAAAAGTTAACTATCTATACCATATTGAATTGCATCATATTACATTGAATCGCATCGCGTTGAATCGGATCGAAATCGGATCGCACCGCATTGTAATAGTAGTGAATCGTATTGCATCGCATCGGTAGCTGCTTATATGTATCTTTAATGTATCGTATCATTGGCTATGCATTGAGATACGTATCGCATCGGCCTCAGCTATGGAGATGCACATCCCTATCTTCTATGGCCTCGTTCACACAGCAGGAGAATACGGTTTTCAGTTCTGTATTTGAGTCACAATAGAATTATGTTTGAGAGATATGAGCTGTGTGTCGTCTGAAGGTTTTATATACAGTCCCTGTTCTCCTCCTCCCGTCGGTTTTGTGTTCTACACGCAACTTAAATGTTCCGCTCTCCACACAGATATAAAACGCTGCTGTCAGTTAATGAACATTTGATGGATGAACTCGCGGCTCGATTGGACTCTTGTCGAATCAAAATTGATAAGACTTTTGAGTTTTATGGATGTTGCCAACTTCTTTGGTTACTGTTGCTTTGGTTTGATGGTAAGAGAATATAGGCTTTACTCCCGTTGCACATTCGAGACGCTAGTGTAAGTTGCATTTTTGTACATTTCGAGACTCGTAAGTAAATATGGTTGTCGATCTCAAATACTGACCGTGTGAACGTAGCCTGTGTGACGTCAGGAGGAAACTAAATGAGGACTTTTCACAGGATTGTTGACATTTACAAATGACTTAAGATATTAGGGCTGTCAAATAAAAATGAGAATTTCGAATATTCGTCGAATTTAACTGATGCGTTGTGTTTTTGTTAGCTTATCCAGTACACCGCGGTGCGGCTGCGATGTTAATTTGAAAAAATGTCGGGAAAAGGCTGCTGATGAAAACCATCTCAGTTAGTGGCAAAATCGTGCAACAAACATACTTGACCATACTTGCACATCGGTCAGATCTGTGCGCGTGTTTTCATCAGCTGGAAACACTGTCAACAGAAAGCGCTCAGCACTCGCTGTTGAGTGTCTGGTTTTTTGACAAACAATATGTAGACAATACAGAACTTTTTTCCTCTAACATTAAGTATTGCCTTTAGAATTCGAATATAATTCGATTTTTGCTAATATTTATGAAAGAAATTTCGAATTTAGCTTTTCAGCCATTTTGACAGTCCTGTAAGATATTAAGTCTTGTTTTCTGAAAAGAAGAACAAATATCTGCCAATGTGGTCAGAAAAATAAACTTAATTCAAAGGGAAAATATTCAAGGCAGATGTTTTCTTGTTTTAAGCCTAAACTCATTCACATACACTTCAATCATGTGGTTTCTCCAGTAAATGTGTCTTGGTTTTAGAAGACAAAAATGCTGAGGAGAATTTAATTTTTTGGTAGTGTTCACCGTAAGAACCATGGTACTCACGCTTACGTAAATATGGTTGTCGATCTCAAATACTGACCATGTGAACGAAGCCTGTGTGACTTTAGGAGGAAACTAAATGAGGACATTTCAAACATTGAGTGATCAGCTGTAAACACAGCTCTGGGACTCACGCTCGGGCTGTGTGGACAGTCGGATGGCCCCTGAACTCTCTCCGGGCCCCTGCTCGTTGAACGCGACGACTCTGAAGGAGTACGTGGCCTCCGGTCTGAGATTGCTGACCGTCAGCTGCAGACTCTCGGCCTCCGTCACGTTAATGGATCGCTCCCTGCGGCACACATGCAAACACGCTCAGAGAAACAATAACAGTTTTCAAACAGGTTTCATATATTCCATATGTGCAATATTAACGTCACACCCCGAGGAATAACCCCAATATACACCCCAATATACCAAGGAACAATATTCCATAACACTTTGTTCACATCGTTGGTTGAATCCGTGTTGCTCTGCTCTGTCATTTACACAGATGTCTAAGTCACAACATCTAACTACTGGAGTGCCTCAGGGCTCAGTGCTGGGACCGCTTCTCTTCTCCATCTAGATGACATCTCTAGTGTCTGTCATTCAGAAACATGGTTTATCCCATCACTGTTATCATCTAGCTACTGGAGTGCCTCAGGGCTCAGTGCTGGGACCGCTTCTCTTCTCCATCTACATGTCATCACTAGGATCTGCCATTCAGAAACATGGTTTATCCCATCACTGTTATCATCTAGCTACTGGAGTGCCTCAGGGCTCAGTACAACACGTACCTGTTGATTCCCTCCTCAGAGAAGAAGACTCCGTACGTCAGGATGGTCCCGCGCGTGTCCTCCGGGGGGCGCCACCCGAGGCGCACGAATCGACTGGACACGAGGACGGGGGCCACGTCACGGGGAGCAGAAGGGAGGACGCCTGAGCTCGGGGTAACTGGGGGGGGAGGAGAGGAGTAAGTCAAAGAGGAAGTGCGGGGCAACGGGGGCTGAGAAGGCTGAGGGGGCGGGGCAGGGGGCGTGGCCTCTGTGGCCGGGGAGGAACAGAGGAGGAGGGGCATGAGGGAAGGGGAGGGGCGTGGGAGGGGAGGGGCGGAACATAACAGAACGAGAGGAGTGTGACCGATGGAATGAGTAGATAAGGAAAGAAAACACAAACAAACAGAAGACATCAGGAAGAAAAGAAAAGAGAGCGATAAGGAAGATCACAGCATCATAGATCAGGTAAATAACAGACAATTAAGACGCACACACACACACACACACACACACACCAGAGTCAGAATGAGATGAAAGTGAGCGTTCTACGAGATTAGAGAGAGAATGCAAACAAAGGCTCGATTATACAAGCTAAATTGAAGAACGAATTGGTGTGATGCATTTCAAACAAAATAGCTCTGTTTTGTAAACACATTCGAACTGCCATTGGTCCATGTGGCGATTACCTAATAGGTAGGTGTGGCTCGGAGGCTCCGCCTTCTTTGAGCTAAATTACTTCTGTTCAGTCTGTCAATGTCAGACGCAAGTAAAAACTCTCACAGAGCAGCTTTATAGTAGAAACTGAAGCTGTAATTCTACACAAAAGACTCTGACACTGTTTTCATGTTTAATACTGTGAAGCTGCTGCTTTAAAGCAATCTATCGTATAAAGTGCTTTATAAATAAAGGTGACTGAATCGCAGAGCTGCTGCAAACACACTCACGTCTCTATGATCAGATGCTTTCTCAACTGCTGTTTTCATATTTTTTATTGTGTTTATTTTGTTATCGAGAGGAAAGAGCGCAGCACATAGGGTCAGGATGATCAGTATAATCGCTGCAACGGTGTTTCAAACTCGTTTTACTCCTAAGTGAAAAAGAAGAACTTTAAGTATATCAGGGCCGTAAAACACACATTTGATGAACAGAAAAGCATCTTTTCCAGATTTTAAGGGCCGTGAATCTGTTTTCTGACTGTAGAGAGACTCATGTGCGTCAGAACAAGAGTGACATCCGTCTGTGTGTGTGTGTGTGTGTGTGTGTGTGATTTCACAGTTCTGATGAGGTTCTCTCAATGTCATCCAGCACATTCACACTCACTATCACCAGGGAATTACTGTTACACACACACACAACCACACGCACACAGACACACAGACACACACACACACACACACACACACACACACACACACACACACACACACACACACACACACACACACACACACACACACACACACACACACTTACTTAGCTATCTAAATGGGGACATTCCATAGACGTAATGGTTTTTATACTGTACAAACTATATATTCTGTCCACTTACCCTAAACCTAGCCATCACACACAACTTACTGCATTTTTACATTTTTAAAAAACCTTTAATTACTTTATTTTTATACCAGATTTACAAACGAGGACGTCCCTAAAGGGAGGTTTTTAGAGATTTTGGTCACTTCACACATGCATATACACACACACACACACACACAAACACACACACACACACGTTGGGTTTTCATGTTTTATGGTGACTTTAGATGGCTGATATTGTAAGTGCCTCATTAAGCCCAGGATGGTTCTGAGAGCCTCGTCTGAGCACATCGAGCCGCTGGAGCTTCTCGGCACACAAAAGACACGCGGATCACGTGCGTCATCACTGGAGCCAGCGCATCAGTCTCTCCTACGCCTCGGTGGTTTCCTACAGCTAAGCAGACAATGCCTCCTGAAGACGCTGTCGTCTGAGCTGAAGGAGAACATCAGGCCTTTCAGAGAGGATTGTCATCGCAGCGAGGACTGAAGCACGAGAGCAACGCCGGTACGGTACGGGCGTCAGGAGAGCTGGCTCACGTTTACTATAGTATAGCCGCACTTTACCTTCAGATCACCTGCGTATAGACTTCAGATCACCTGCGTATAGACTTCAGATCACCTGTGTATAGACTTCAGATCACCTGCGTATAGACTTCAGATCACCTGTGTATAGACTTCAGATCACCTGCGTATAGACTTCAGATCACCTGTGTATAGACTTCAGATCACCTGCGTATAGACTTCAGATCACCTGCGTATAGACTTCAGATCACCTGTGTATAGACTTCAGATCACCTGTGTATAGACTTCAGATCACCTGCGTATAGACTTCAGATCACCTGCGTATAGACTTCAGATCACCTGCGTATAGACTTCAGATCACCTGCGTATAGACTTCAGATCACCTGTGTATAGACTTCAGATCACCTGTGTATAGACTTCAGATCACCTGCGTATAGACTTCAGATCACCTGCGTATAGACTTCAGATCACCTGCGTATAGACTTCAGATCACCTGCGTATAGACTTCAGATCACCTGCGTATAGACTTCAGATCACCTGCGTATAGACTTCAGATCACCTGCGTATAGACTTCAGATCACCTGCGTATAGACTTCAGATCACCTGCGTATAGACTTCAGATCACCTGCGTATAGACTTCAGATCACCTGTGTATAGACTTCAGATCACCTGTGTATAGACTTCAGATCACCTGCGTATAGACTTCAGATCACCTGCGTATAGACTTCAGATCACCTGCGTATAGACTTCAGATCACCTGCGTATAGACTTCAGATCACCTGCGTATAGACTTCAGATCACCTGCGTATAGACTTCAGATCACCTGCGTATAGACTTCAGATCACCTGCGTATAGACTTCAGATCACCTGTGTATAGACTTCAGATCACCTGTGTATAGACTTCAGATCACCTGCGTATAGACTTCAGATCACCTGTGTATAGACTTCAGATCACCTGTGTATAGACTTCAGATCACCTGCGTATAGACTTCAGATCACCTGCGTATAGACTTCAGATCACCTGCGTATAGACTTCAGATCACCTGCGTATAGACTTCAGATCACCTGCGTATAGACTTCAGATCACCTGCGTATAGACTTCAGATCACCTGCGTATAGACTTCAGATCACCTGCGTATAGACTTCAGATCACCTGCGTATAGACTTCAGATCACCTGCGTATAGACTTCAGATCACCTGCGTATAGACTTCAGATCACCTGTGTATAGACTTCAGATCACCTGCGTATAGACTTCAGATCACCTGTGTATAGACTTCAGATCACCTGTGTATAGACTTCAGATCACCTGTGTATAGACTTCAGATCACCTGCGTATAGACTTCAGATCACCTGCGTATAGACTTCAGATCACCTGCGTATAGACTTCAGATCACCTGCGTATAGACTTCAGATCACCTGCGTATAGACTTCAGATCACCTGCGTATAGACTTCAGATCACCTGTGTATAGACTTCAGATCACCTGTGTATAGACTTCAGATCACCTGTGTATAGACTTCAGATCACCTGTGTATAGACTTCAGATCACCTGCGTATAGACTTCAGATCACCTGCGTATAGACTTCAGATCACCTGTGTATAGACTTCAGATCACCTGTGTATAGACTTCAGATCACCTGCGTATAGACTTCAGATCACCTGTGTATAGACTTCAGATCACCTGCGTATAGACTTCAGATCACCTGCGTATAGACTTCAGATCACCTGCGTATAGACTTCAGATCACCTGCGTATAGACTTCAGATCACCTGCGTATAGACTTCAGATCACCTGCGTATAGACTTCAGATCACCTGTGTATAGACTTCAGATCACCTGCGTATAGACTTCAGATCACCTGCGTATAGACTTCAGATCACCTGCGTATAGACTTCAGATCACCTGCGTATAGACTTCAGATCACCTGCGTATAGACTTCAGATCACCTGTGTATAGACTTCAGATCACCTGCGTATAGACTTCAGATCACCTGTGTATAGACTTCAGATCACCTGCGTATAGACTTCAGATCACCTGCGTATAGACTTCAGATCACCTGCGTATAGACTTCAGATCACCTGCGTATAGACTTCAGATCACCTGCGTATGGACTTCAGATCACCTGCGTATGGACTTCAGATCACCTGCGTATGGACTTCAGATCACCTGTGTATAGACTTCAGATCACCTGCGTATAGACTTCAGATCACCTGCGTATAGACTTCAGATCACCTGCGTATAGACTTCAGATCACCTGCGTATAGACTTCAGATCACCTGCGTATAGACTTCAGATCACCTGTGTATAGACTTCAGATCACCTGTGTATAGACTTCAGATCACCTGCGTATAGACTTCAGATCACCTGCGTATAGACTTCAGATCACCTGCGTATAGACTTCAGATCACCTGCGTATAGACTTCAGATCACCTGCGTATAGACTTCAGATCACCTGCGTATAGACTTCAGATCACCTGCGTATAGACTTCAGATCACCTGCGTATAGACTTCAGATCACCTGTGTATAGACTTCAGATCACCTGTGTATAGACTTCAGATCACCTGTGTATAGACTTCAGATCACCTGCGTATAGACTTCAGATCACCTGTGTATAGACTTCAGATCACCTGTGTATAGACTTCAGATCACCTGTGTATAGACTTCAGATCACCTGCGTATAGACTTCAGATCACCTGCGTATAGACTTCAGATCACCTGCGTATAGACTTCAGATCACCTGCGTATAGACTTCAGATCACCTGCGTATAGACTTCAGATCACCTGCGTATAGACTTCAGATCACCTGCGTATAGACTTCAGATCACCTGCGTATAGACTTCAGATCACCTGCGTATAGACTTCAGATCACCTGTGTATAGACTTCAGATCACCTGCGTATAGACTTCAGATCACCTGCGTATAGACTTCAGATCACCTGCGTATAGACTTCAGATCACCTGTGTATAGACTTCAGATCACCTGCGTATAGACTTCAGATCACCTGCGTATAGACTTCAGATCACCTGCGTATAGACTTCAGATCACCTGCGTATAGACTTCAGATCACCTGCGTATAGACTTCAGATCACCTGCGTATAGACTTCAGATCACGCAGACTCT